ACCTTTTTGCACCGCCCTCTTCTCCAATCCCCCCCTTCCGTTCGGTACCATGGCATTGTTGGCTTCCGTCCCCCTGCGCGAACCAGATGAACGCGGGGCGTCCGCCGGGAATTCACAGGTGTTCGCGTAGGTGTTGGCAACAGGTCGAGGCGGGTCTGGATCGCGAGCGAGTGACGTCACCACCGATTTCCGAGCATGGTCGCGGTCCGCCTCTGTCACAGGACTCTCATCGATTCTAGACGTCGCATAGTCCAGTATGGCCGTGATCGCCCCTCCGCCCCCGCCTGTGACGCCGTGAACGACTCGTGTTTCTTCACCCCGAGCCTTCGGACCCTGGACCAGTACAAGACCGTTGACTTTTTGGATGTTTCGCTGTTCCTTTTCGTATGGGCCCCGATCCGGCCTGGCGTCTGCTGTCGACATGAGCTTGCAGAAGAATTGTGCGGGGGCTGCGGTATACTCCGTGTGGATCGTGAAGACCACTCTGTCGTAGCTCAGAGCGATGCCATCTCTGTGGGCGGTCATGCCAACACCCGTAGATCTGGGCATCATACGGACCTGTACCGTCTCGTTCTTAAGGCCCGCGGGTGCAGAGCGTTCGATGTCGGCGATGAACCGTCCCAACTCCGGCTTCGATCTCGCTGCAGCAATCGAGAGACGATGCTCCGTCGTGAGCCCTGCCTTGCCCGCCTTGCCCGTGAGCGTGAACAGGGATCTCTCCTCCAGGGGATGACCACTCTTTCCCTCCGCATACTCGGCCCCGAGCTCGTTCAGCTCCTGACCTATCTTCCGGTGGTCGTATTCGATCGCAACACCCTGCACCAGGTCGGAGAGGTGGCCTCCGAGATCGATTTTTATGTCCGTGTCGTAGGTTATGGCCTTCTTGAGCCTCTTGGCCCACGGCAGTTTTTGCCGCTTACCGCCCCTGCATGTGCTACCCGGCTCGTCATCCTCCTGTCCTATTTCTCTGGGCGGCGGGGGCGACGACATCCTACCACCTCTGAGTGTCGACACCCTCTGTTATTTCACAACGGGCAAAATAACACAGGACAGAATGAATGACCATGAAGCGAATACCAAACGACTTTAACCAGCACGACATAGATG